AACACTTATAACTCCAGTGTTTTCATCGATTCGAAACACTGTCTGTAAAACAAGTGAAAATTATTATAAAATGGCCCTCTATGACAGAAGCGCTCATGACGTGTGACGGAAATGGGGGAAAATTCGTGGTACGAATGTTCAATGTTCAATTGTAACTTGCACTGAAACGCCATGCTGTTTGCAAGGAAAACAATACAACCGCATTGAGGCTGTCAGCATCCTTTTTTTTACGTTTTGTCATATTACCTCAGGCCCTGCAAATAGAAGTTTGCATGAAATCATGGGAAGAAACGGTGTCCATTGCCGTGTGATAACTGTCATAAAGGTGATTGGCCGGTCATACTTGTTTACAAATCTGGAAGGACAATTCGAATCTACGAGGCGTGATTGTGATTTACATAACAAAGGATATTCACAATTCACTGAGTTGCCTACGTGAGACGGTTGATGGCAAGATCACATTCTGATTGGCTCATGTGAAAACCCAGGTGGTGTTCCTGAATCTGGGTCATTTATGCCTATAAATGGGCTAGGATGCGGACAGTTTTGTCCATCATTTAAACTGTGTACCCTGTGTGTAGCTACTGCGATATTGTGAGACAAGTGATACTGGTTTCAACCATCATTCTGTGAGGCTTTCTGAACTGCTTTTTGATCTCCTGCTCTCAGCGGTGCCTTCCAGAATAACAGCATTCCTCTGTGTCAGCATTCTTTATTTTATGTGTTTGTCATATTACATCAAACATGGGACGAAACGGTGTGCATTGTCATGTGATAACTGTCATAAAGGCGAATGACGGTCATACTTGTTTTCTTGTTTGGAAGGACAGTTGGAATCTACCAGGTGTGCTTGTGATTTACATAACAAAGGGTGTTTACAACTTTGGAATCTACCAATCTACCAGGTGTGCTGTTATTTGAATAACAAGGGATGTTTATGATCTACTAAGTTGCCTACGTGACACAGCTGCTAGCAAGATCACATTCTGATTAGCTCATGTGGAAACCCAGGTGGTGCCACTGAACCATGCCTATAAATTGGACAGTCTCAGGACAGTTGAGGTCGATCATTTTAACTTGGTATCCAGTGTGTGCTGCTACGATATTGTGTGACAAGTGATACAGGCTTCAATCATCATTCTGTGAGACTTGTATGAACTGCTCTGTGATCTTTGCTTTCAGCGGTGCCCTCCAGAATACCAGCGTTCCTCTGCAAGTAAGACTCCTGTATTTGTTGTTGTGTTGCAGAAATCATTGACTATCGTCCATTTCTACATCCTGGAACTGTGAGTTATCACCAATGCACACTTCCCTAAGCAACCTCCTATTTTAGTGACCTTATTCATTATATTTGTCTGTGTTTTAGTTATTGTAATTATTTTGAGAGGTATTAAAGCCAGGAGCTTTAACTCGATATTTTGGTGTATGTGTATTTCATTTCCAGTACTATTGTCTTGTCTACCCAATTCTAGCATTGAAAGAACCCTCTATCCAGTGTAAGTTCTGTGGTTGGGCCTCTCAATTGCAATAAGCAGGCCGTACACTGCGGCAGAACACAGTCCCTCAACAGAGGGACTGTGGGCAGAAGGACTGTGGAAAACATCCCCGACAATATCGTTCATCAACAATATTACCAGACAACTTCAAAACTGTAATACGCGTATTCCGCGCATTGTTTTTCTGCAATACTTCAATACAAACACACGCAAACTAAAACAGGACAGACGACTTTCAACAAAAATACTGTTTGCCAACATTAGCAACTCCCAAGGAGTTCTGGTTGCTTGTTTCCGGTCTCCTTTTGAACGTCTAGCGTAAGACAAAGCTAACCGACACTCACTATATTGTAACAGCTGCTATCAGGACAAAGCCTAGAATACACACACTAACCCATGGTCTATGAATGTCGTCTACAACATAAGCACACGGTTGCGATTTTATCGTAAACGTATACTCACCCTTTGATTAGGATGATAAATGCTGTACTTGACTGTGCCATCAGGTCCCTTGTCTTTGTCGTAGGCAAGAATTGTACAGCCTTCCGTCAGATTAGTGCCTATTGGTATGTTACTTGGTATCGTGTATTCATACACAGCTGCGGATTTCATGTACATATATTATTGAGCGCCAACTTCATCGAATATTGCGCATGCGGAAAACGGCCATAGGATGTCATTGTTTACAAATAGGCGTCTACCCATGAGGCTTAAAAGTTTACGTTTTTAAGGTGCGTTGTTATCGTCGCCTGGGACTCAATTCCCGTGAATGCTCAGTTGACGACCTCGCTTTTAAATATAACCACATAAAGATGTCCCAATCTTACCGAAATATTGTTCTACGCATAATTACATGGGCAAACGGGCGCAACGCCGCGGCCATCTTTATTCAAGGAAGTACTTAAATGTATAAAGTCGGCATGTAGCATACTGTATATGCTATGCTTTCAGTGTTCACATTTCAACGATGACAAATTGCCACTAATGACACATGAAATGTAATTAGGAATAACAATTCGAAAAAATATCGATCGATAGTTACAGCAGTTATTGTTGTTTTGATACGATAGCAGCGCAACCAAACGGCAGGTTTGTGATGTGATTTCAGGTTGGAACCAGCAGGATTTTGAATGGCGAACTAAAAAAGTCCATTCAGAGCGAGTACTCAACCGGTAAACATGTAAATATTGCCAATACATCGTAACTGATACGTAAATTACTTTCACGGAATACTGGATAACTTTCATTCGGACCAGGCGTATACTAGTACATCGTAACTGGTTCGTAACTTATTTTCATGGAATACTTGATAATATTAATTCTAATCAGGCCATTACATTGTAACTGATACGTAACTTTCTTTCACAGAATACTTGATAACAATCTTTCGAATCAGGCCTATACATCGTAACTGATATGTAACTTACTTTCACAGAATACTGGATAACATTCATTTGGATCAGGCCAATACACTTCGACAAGCACGTGACCATAATCAAAACCTGCGACGCTTCCATCGGTCACTTTAACAGCCAACTTTAAAAACAAGAAACCGATGCAATACAAAACATTACGCTCAGTAAGCTTAGTGGGCGAAATGTCATCATGATTGATGGATTTGAATCGTCGACTTGAAAATGAAAAAAATAATAGAACATTACCGTGTAACATTTTCTATGTACGCTGTATTTGCATCTGAGATTACAGCGACCCAATCACTATGTCGGTTACTTACATAATGCTCAGCTTCAATTATATTTTCAAACAGCTTTATGGTTGTAATCACGCCATTGGTGGAATTTATATCATAGTATTCATAATCTCCCGTATTAGAAAGGAACGTGTATTTTAGTTCGCCGACTTCGTCCTCATCAGTAGCATTAACATTTATAACAAACGTTCCTATTGCTGAATCCTGAAATATTCAACAACACCATTAGAATCTTTCCGACCTCAGCCCTCTTTAGGGTGCTACTAAAATGAATAAGACTATTACTGTAAAAGACGTATTTTCAGCTAGCATATCATTTTAGCTAATTTAACTAATCTGTAATTTCGCTAATTCAAGATGTCGCTAATTTAGAATAAAATATATTCTCACTATGAAATTGTTGGCATTTTAGCGAAATTAAAGCGCGGTAGTCGTCGGGCTGCGCATGTGCGAGATATATGGGTCTCATAAAAACAAAGATGGCGACTTTGACTGTTGCGCAGAACAACGAGTACGAACTGAGACGTTTCCAAGCTTTATTTAGGTAATTTTCATGTGATTGGAAGTTATCGAAAGCGTCACCTGCGGTAATCAGTGCAGTCGCGCCCAGGTCAAACTTCATACTTGTGATTTCCATTTGGAGAGCGCATTGGATTGTGGGAAAATTAGTGTTTACCAACACAAATGTCGAACATGCGTAGTGTGACTACTACCGCGCTTTAAGATTTTGTTAATTCATGTATTGAGTCAAAAACGATAAAATTGAATTTCAATGTTTTTCACAGTATCCTTTTTATTTTCTTAACGTTTTTAGGTAATATATAACATAAACACGAATTGTGTTGTCATTGAGTGCACATGTGTAGTCGAGGGAATGGTGGATTATTGATGTGATACGCTTACCAACGCCCCGTGTTCCATGAGTTGTACAGGCCGTCTTATAAGTTGTTTAATTTACAGGAATATTTACATGTATATTTAAGTACAACATCATCAAACACAGCCTGACATGTAGGCGTGAGTGGCGCCCTCGCCGGCCGAACGACTTCACTAACTCCTGACCGTGTAGTGTAAGTCTTCGAATTCGCAAAGTCCACGCGACCTGGCCAGGCTACAACCGCAACAGACTGTATCTTTCCTGTGCACGGCTCACTTGTAAACAGGGAGACAAAACCGTGCTTGCATTGACGGTAAAAATCACAGACTGTTTTCAAGAAGGTGTTAAATATTGGGCGGAAATTGCCAGCACCTTATCATACATTATGTCAACAAATAAACTGCCTTGAATGGTTACTCTTTGATGGATGTCACTGTCTGACGTTCCTGCAATTTGATTGGTACCGATAAAAAATCGTCGAGGAAGTGAAAAACTACATCGTTCTTTCAGGCGTGTGTTGGGTTTGGAGCACCGCAGAGGGCGCAACTCACGCGACCTTGTCAGGCTAAAGCAAACATTATTATCATTTTAATTCAGGTGTCACTTAACACAAATTTATTAAATTTAAATCTTATATTCGGTTTCGCCACGTGACTCACATTTGGTATACGAGCCTTCATTTCACTGGGATCGACAACAGGAGGATTGTCGTTCTGGTCCAATATGCGGATATAAACTTGTGATGTGTCGTACATCTGTGGAGTCCCATAGTCAAACGCAGCTACTGTTAAATTAACAAACTCCTGCGTTTCTCTGTCTACATTAACGGTGGTGAAAATATCACCTGTGGTTTCGTTAATCAGGAAAAATCCTATAAGAATAACAAGTAAATGAAGTAAAAGTGACAAAAGCGCGAAATGGTTGGATTAAGTCAGCCAGAAAAAGTAAGATTGATTATTAATTATCTTACTACAATGGTCGTGCTGTTTATGTCGCGTCCGAACAATTTTCGGTATCCAACCGTATACGCCCTTTGTGTGTGCTAATTGTAAAATGTATATGGGGTAGTGTGAGGTTGGAAACATGAAAAGAATCACATTCACGAGATGCACATAGACTTAGAGATGCACCGAGACTCCGTTGCTCAGAAAACCTAAAAAAATGTTAACTCTTTCTTTACGGTATTAATACAGCATTATTCTATTCTATTCTATTGTTGCATTCCCTCCAATCGATGATGAAGTGGAACGGAACACTTCTTGAGGGGGCGAAAAGGGGATTCTTTCTCCAAATGGGATCTCGGATGTCATTTGCGTTCTAGGTCTATGGGTTCTCATCAACCGAAGAGCAGATACAGGGTAGCGATTTCATGCTTCAATGTTTTTATTTACTTTTTCGGGAAGGGGTCAACATAATCCCGAATCGGGAAAGCTAAGTGTTATATACGTTTGCATAACTATTATTTTCATCGTAGAGGGCGTACTGTTGTTCGAAAAATTCGAATACAAAAGGTTGATGCAACATGTTTTTCCTACTGTGTCAGAGTGCGACACTGAGTGGCAGATTTTTCTTTGCCTCGTCTGTCAACGCTTTCTTTCTTTTCTTCGCCATTGCGTTAGAAAAAAAATTATTAGTAAAATAGAATATTGACTTGGAAAATAAAACGATTTAAAAGAAAGTTGTGCAAAGTTACAGTACTCCTTTCGCACAACCTCCCGCCCGCTTCCGCTTTCCAATCGCCTTTTTCTCTCGCTTTTGCGACCGCTTGTTTAATTCAACCGGACAATTTCCGCTTTTTTTTCGACCGCGCAAACCCCGAAATATCACCGCCAACCTGCTCGCTCGCGCGCATTTAAAATTCGGACTAACAGAATAATTTACGAGGTTCACATTGTCTTATAATTGTCTTTCTGGCTTTTATAGATGTTGAACAGATGATAAAAGTTCAAATACTTTTTGTTTTAACTATATATAATTATATGCACGCAACCTGACCCTTTGACCTCGATTTTGGCGTGGACTGAATATTTTATTTTAAACAATATTCTGACGTGAAATACAAAATGTATTTCAACACAAGTACGACATGGTTGTCTGGGGTTTCTTTCCTGATTGTTGAGTCTTCGTAATGTGTTTTGTATAATTATTGTTGTTTTCCCCCGATGCTGAAGAACCGTAAAGCTAAATGGCAGTTACATACATGGGCTGAGTGAAAGAAAATATTTCTAAGCCTAATG